CCTCCAAATTCCCCGTTTCACCACGACGCTGTGGTCATCACAAATATAAGCAATTAATTAAATATTTTGCCTTTTTGCGATGGTCATCACAACATCGTGCAACATTTCCGTATCACAGAAAACGTGCAGTCAATATCACACTCTGATTTACAGTGTATGAACTACATGTCCGCAATGCAAACCAAAACCTTCGTAGCTTACGAACTCTTACGAGCGTTGTATTACGAGCTAATTCTTCGTAAGCTTTAAAACAGTTCGTAATGCAAACTGTTTGTTCATAAGACCCTTCTAACCTTACAGCGAAATGCTTGAAATTAAAAAAAATATCTGCTCAATGCAAAGAATGAAAAAAGTTCGTAGCTTTGCAAACAATTCAATTCGTAGGCATCTACAGTAGAGGATAGCGAAAAAAAAGGATTTGAGATATTGATATGGCGGGTATGCGTAAGAGTTGTCTTTTTAGATGTAGAATCCTGTGCAATTTTTTATTTTGAGATCGGACAATATTTTCCGATCGCGCAACGAGCTCAAAGTTATGCATTAGCTCTTATGGGAAAAATCGTCATAAACCTCAAAAAATGAAAATCGAAAATTTAGGCTTTGTATGTGAGGTTTTTTGAAAATCTGTTCTCATAAATGCAATCTACGCCATAAAAGGCATCCACTGATGTGTCACACTTGAAATTATAGTGAGCGGTTCAGTCCCGGCCAGGTATCAATTTAAGCCCAAATTGCATCAAATTGCACAAAAGTCATGAAATTATGCAGCCTACACCGCCTAAACCATGGGTTGCAATATCAAGTGTGATACATCAGTGGATGCCTTTTATGGCGTAGATTGCATTTATGAAAACAGATTTTCAAAAAAACTCACATACAAAGCATAAATTTTCGATTTTCATTTTTTCATGGTTTTTGACGATTTTTCCCATAAGAGCTAATACATAACTTTGAGCTCGTTGCGCGATCGGAAAATATTGTCCGATCTCAAAATAAAAAATTGCACTGGATTCTACATCTAAAAAGACAACTTTTCCGCATACCTGCCATATCAATTTCTCAAATTCTTTTTTTTCGCTATCCTGTAGATTCTACAGTAGTGCCACTGTAAATCAGAGTGTGATACTGACTGCACGTTATCTGTGATAGAAATATTGCACGCGAGACGTGGTCTGGCGCACATATAGCTAGTATATACGGTGTACACAACATGCTAACTTGACATACGGTCTTTATTGTACAATGCTCACTTGTGTGTTGTCGGACTTACCTGATCATCGAGATGGCAATGGTAAATGCGAGTATAATCGAATGTAATGGAAGTGCGATGCTGCGCACGAGCAGGAATAGTCCAAATATACCAGTGATATTCAGAGAGACTGTTTTCAGGCATCCCAAAAGAGCCACTTCTCTCCAAAAGACTTTTCTTAATGATGACTGCAAAGAGAGACAATAAGAAAACCGGGTATCAAATTTAACCGGGACAGCATTATAGGCGGTATCTCATTTTATTCTCTATTTCATCGCAGGTAAAATGAAGATGGCGCCCAAAACGCTACGACAAAAGGGAGAGCGGGGCGACGCGTCCTAAGAACAAAGTCTGATCTGTTTGAGCGCCCGTTAACAAAGTCCGATCTTTTCTCGCGCTCGTCAACAAAGTCCGATCTGTTTGTGTGACGCCCAACAAAGTCCGATCTGTTTTTGGCCGCGCTCTGCATCGCTGGTTTAGTTTATTTCTATCTTCACTAATATTGACAGTATAGAAAAAGTAATGACTGCTATGTGATCCTAAGAGATTGAGGAATAGCTGAGACCGAAAATGTCAAGCAAAGATACAGAAACAGAATTGTCACAAAGCTCCAAACGTCCGCCTCCCGAGCGCAACCAAAAACAGATCGGACTTTGTTGACGGGCGCGCGAAAAGATCGGACTTTGTTGACGGATGCGCAAACAGATCAGACTTTGTTCTTAGGACGCGTCGGGGGTACCATGAACATGGGGCACGATGAGCATTTTGAATTTACGCCACTGTAATTTGAAGTGTGATACTTTTCACACATTTTCGTGTGAAAATTTTTTCTGTGTGATCCCCATGAATTATTACTCCTGGGGGTGTGATGAATTTTTATCACAAAATTGTGGGATACTCATTGCAAAATAATGCGATGATTCTGGATTTATCTCAAAACGGTGTTACGCATTTTGCACAAAATTATGATACATCGAAGTGTCGCTCGAGTAAGTGATGGTCATTACAAATATAAGCAATGAATTTAATATTATACTTTTTCTGCGATGATCATCACAACATCGTGCAATATTTCTGTATCACAGAAAACGTGCAGTCAGTATCACACTCTAATTAAAAGTGGCGCCAATGTGTCACCGCCGGCCCAAGGCAAAGTAATAGCCTGAATGTTGTCTGAATCTTTGTCGACGGTGACGGTTTATTGATAGTTAAACGGCAGGTCATCGTCAGTCAATCGTCAGTCTATCGGTAGCCAAACGGCTGACCATCCTCATCGACAATCCGCAAACAAACGTCAGACAAACCACAGTCAGACCGCAGTCTGTCGGCAGTCGACCCTCAGCCCAGTTAGACTGAGAATTGACTGCCGTTTGTCTGCGGATTGGCAATGCGTTATCAGACTTTGGCGCCTCAGACAACCTTCAGACCAGGGGTCTCAGAGTGAGCGATCTGCACGGGCCGCACCGAGCTGAGTGAGAGAGATAGATGCCTGTGGAGGGAAGGTGGAGCGGAGGTCTGCCTGCCGAACGCCAGCTCCGGCCCAGCTCTGTCACCGACGGAGCACAGCGGCGAGCTAGCATGCGTCCGGAAACGAATGGTGTGAGTGAGATGCTCGAGCTGGGCTGCAGCTCCCTCTCACGTCCACTTGTCGTTTTCGGACGCATGCCTGCAGCGACGCTCGCTCGCCACTTGGTTGTGTCGCTTGCCGAGCCGGCACTGACCGGCCCGGGCCGGCCCAGCCGGCCCGCCTATACCTCCCATTGCGGCCCGCCGGGGGCCGCACGGCTCGGATTTCCGGGCCGGAGCGGCCCGCGGGCCGCGTGTCTGAGACCCCTGCTTCAGACAATCCTCTGCAAGAGATGAAAATGAAAACCTTCGAATCGGCTGGGCAGCTGCCGCCGGCCCGGCCCGGTACCGAACCCCGGCCCTCGGAGTGGGAGTCGGAGTGCTTGCTCCCTTGGCCAGAGAGAGGTCGCTGGGAGACGAGCTCGGCGAAGGCATGTCACGGCAGAGTGAGATGGGAGCACCTTTGCAAATCGATACGGAATTCTCTTGAGTCTAGGGCTATCATAATCCGCTTTTATCTTTGAAATATAAAAGCATCCAGTGGAAACAATAAAAGAATTGGATTCTGCCGGCTTCAACGCTCCTGATAAACTTATTATTTCATGCTGGCCGGTACAGATACAACTTCTTATAAAATTATAATAATTGCAACGCCATCTTGGCCAGGCCGCCGCAATCCGACTCCAGCACCTGCCTTCGCTGAGCTGAGCTCGTCTCTCAGCGACCTTTCTCTGGCCAAGGGAGCAAGCACTCCGACTCCCACTCCGGGGGCCGGGGTTCGGTACCGGGCCAGGTCGGCGGCAGCTGCCCGGCCGATTCGAATGTTCTCATTTTCATCTCTTGCAGAGGATTGTCTGAAGGTTGTCTGAGGCGCCAAAGTCTGGTAACGCATTGCCAATCCGCAGACGAACGGCAGTCAATTCTCAGTCTAACTGGGCTGAGGGTCGACTGCCGATAGACTGCGGTCTAACTGTGGTTTGTCTGACGTTTGTTTGCGGATTGTCGATGAGGATGGTCAGCCGTTTGGCTACCGATAGACTGACGATTGACTGACGATGACCTGCCGTTTAACTACGCTTTACCTACCAATAAACCGTCACCGTCGACAAAGATTCAGACAACATTCAGGCTATTACTTTGCCTCGGGGGACGCCACCAATAGGGCGTTCCATTTTTAGGAGTGAACCCACTGATCTATTCGGAACGCAGCTTAAATGAAAATACACGTCAAGGAGTTTAAAACTTCGTCGCGCGAAGGGCGCTGCAATGTCGGGAACCATGCGCAAGAATGGATTTTAGGTCTTTGTCACTTTTGCGCCAATTTACACCTGACATGATTTTCCCCCTGCCGCGCCGCGGATGCGCGGCCGAGGCCGGGGACTCGCTGTCCACAGACACCCTAAGGTAGGTACTTGAAGTATATCAGGTCGCCGGTACCGCGCGGCGTCACGTTACGGTGGGCGTAACGCCTAATTGAAAACCAGTATTTTCGCTTTAGCGGTGCACATATTCATCGAATGGCGACCGGGTTTGTGCGAGAACGTAGCAAATACTGAGTGTTATCAATGGCCCAAGGCTAATCGATAACATTTATCGGCATCATAGTCAAAAGTAAAAAAAAAAAAAAAAAAGTTCCGTCAAGGCACGGATCGTGGAAGCAGATGATACGTATGTAATGATCAAGCCTTGCTTTATATTATTTCAGCACAGGAAGTGGAGGTTTCAAAGATCTATAACACCCACATTTACAGAATTTTGTTGTAATTTATACCGCTATTCATATATCATACAAGTTCCCCACAGCCGTTTTATTCTATTCTCCTTCAGAAATGGGTGGCTCCAGTTCGCTATGAACAAGCAGTCGTTAAAACCCTCGTTGAAGTTGATGTATTTAGAATAGCATCATATGATAGCGCCCGGGCGGCCGAGCCGAACCGTGCCGAGTTCCGAGCTGCGCTTCCAGC